CATAGAGCTGGAGGGACCCCATGGGGAGTTGGGTTCTTGCTTGCGTTTCTGCTTATTATGTTGTCTTACAAGTCCGCTTTCCAAGGACGCTGGTTTCCTCTTCTTGGTAGATGATGTTTATGAAATCATTAAAATTTTTTTTTCTTTTTTCAATGTAAATCCAAAATATATGTAGATTTTGTTGGCTACTCAAGTTCATTTTTGTCCCTTTTTTTTTTTTCTTAAAGTAGAAAAAGACATTCTTGAATCATAAAAATGAGAACAGGATTCATATAATTTTAGGGGGTCAAACCGTCAAAGCCATGTTATAATTGTAGGGGTGGGGAAGGAAGGTCTGGTGGGGATGGTTTCCATCAACTAGTTAAAAGTGGTTCCTATATATGCCACATAGGATCCTTGTGGCATTTGAGGGGTAATTGTTAACAGAGTGGAACTACCAAACAGAAAAGTACATTGGAATGAATTTGTAAATTCAGGAACCCAATTGCCAAGAATGAGATGTTAGGGACCAAATTGGACCCTTTGAAAGGTAGGTAATAAAATGCAATTATTAGATCACATGATAAAATTCAATTTGAACTAGTTCACGGGGCCATAAAGCAAAAGCAAAAACAAAAAGCTTGGCCACCTACGGGGCCTGAAAATTTGAGTGCCATAATCAAATCTCCAGACTTGAAGAAAAATGATAATTAGAAAACAAAATCAATTGTTCAAACAAAGCATGGGCTTAATCATAACAATCAACATTGGATGCAGCAAATAGCCACTACAGCCAACAGTTCAAAAGGAAAACGCAACAGAGAGAATATATGATATATCAACCATGACAGAGTGGCCATGCCACCTAGAACCACTGTTATTGAACGCGCTGGGTGCCTCTAGGTGGCAGGCCTCCACTTAGAACCTAGGCGACGCCTAGATTGCCTTGATTTGTACACCACTTTTTTTTTTTCTAAACAAATCCAAAAAATTCAGAAATTTTGGGGAAAATAAAAAAAAAAATCATTTTAAAGTTTGAAATCAATTAACCAACAAAACTTAATAGCAGTCTAGAATCAACATAGCTAAAATCATTTAATTAAAGTGAGGAAGAACAAGAATTGAAGTTGTAGAAAACCCTAAATGATTGGTATTTAGGGTTTTTTGCTTTTTGTTGGCCTATGAAAACCAATCACTATTGTTTATTCTTTATTTGTTAAAAAAAATTGAAAAACAAAATAGTATGGTTTAATTTTTTTATACAAAATTCCAAAAAAAAAGAAAAGGAGGTAGGGCAATATTGCCCTGCTGCCCTAGCCAAAGCGGGCGGACATAAGCGCCACCTGAGCGAGCCTAGGCGGAGCCGTTTGCAACACTGCCTAGAACCCAGATGCGGCCACACAAAATGACTCCAAGCAGCTTCAGACAGTAGCCATTCGATCAGTTAGGTATCTCATTAGAGAGTTGACAGGCCTATTCAAGTCAATATTTTCGGTACCCTGGTGCCTAATCTTGATCCGAGCAAGGTAGTCAGCTGCAATCCACGCAAAGCTTAAAGTCAGTACACTCCCAGCATCGCCTGACTCCTGCATTGCTAGTGACTTGTTCACGTATTCAGGATGGTAAGCGACCTGATACCA